ATTTTGAAAAAGAACCTTTGAAACTTTGAATATGAATATCTAATTTTTTGAATGTGAATATTTGAAACTTTGAATGTGAATCTTTAAATTTTTGAATGTGAGTCTTTGAAACTTTAGATGTGAATCTCTAAAAATTTATGAAAATGAATCTTTGAAATTTTGGATCGGAATTTAAAAAATTTTTCAAATGTGAATATTTAAAATTTTGGAAATGAAACCCTGAAATTTTTCGGATAAGAATCTTTGAAATTTTGGTTGTGAAATGTTAAAATTTTTAAATGTGAATTTTAAAAATTTTCGATGTGAATCTCTAAGTTTTTAAAATAAAAATCTTTAAGTTTTGAATGTGAATCTTTAAAATTTTTCAAATATAAATTTTGGCTATGAATCCTTAAATTTTTCGAATGGAAATTTTTAACTTTTGAGTGTGAATCTTTAAAATTTTTGAATGAAAATTTTTTAATTCTAGAGGTGAACCTTTAAATTTTTTATGTGAATTCATGAATTTTTTTTATATGAAACTTTAAATCTTTTGAATTCGAATATTTGAATATTGTCTGTGAATTACAATTTGTGAATCTTTACAATGATGAAAATTCTTGCGAAATAGAAACTCTTACAAACATGAAGTTCTTGTAAATTCAAAGTTCTTGCAAATCTAAAATTCTTGCAAACCTGAAATCTTACGAATATGAAGTTTTTGTGAATATAAATCACTTGCGAATCTAAAACTTTTACGAATCTGAAGTTCTTATGAATTTGAAATTTTTACGAATCTGAAAGTCTTGTTAATCTTTGAACTTTCACAGACTTGAAGTTCTTGCAAATATGAAAATCTTGCAAATTTGAAACTCTAGCGAATTTGAAATTTTTACAAATCTTAAAATCTTGTGAATATTCCATTCTTGTGAATCTGAAAGTCTGGTGAATTTTTGAAGTTTTGTGATGAACTTTTGAATTTTCAAATTGTGAATCTTTGGATTCCAAGTTAAAAATTTTCAGTTTTTCTGGACTCGAACAAAATAGGTGAGGAGAACATTTTTCAAATTTTAAAATTGTGAATGCCTCTATTTTAGAGGATTTTTTTTCTCGAAAACATTTGAAGGTGATCATTAAGTCTTTCGAACAAAATTTGTAAGTCTTTTAAGCTAATTTTTTTTAGAGTTGAGATTTGTAAGACATTTGGTCGTAATCTCTAAATTTTCAGGGCAAGATTCGTAAGTTTTTTAAACTGAATCTATTTTAGAATCAAGATTTGTAAGACCTCCAAGCATAATCTCTAATACCTCCTGGTATAGTCTTCAAGTCCTTCGGACATGATATGATTTTTTAAAACTTTTAGGTACCATTTTTTTTTTAAAGTTGTGTAGCCTTTGTTTAAATGAGCAGTTTTTAATAAATGATTTGTAAAGTCTCCAGGCTTAATCTTCAAATTCTTTGGACATGATCTATAAGACTTTCGGGCATGATTATCAAAATCTTTAGGTGTTGTCCTTAATTTTTTAAAAAGTTGTGTGTCTTCATTTTCGAAAAGCTTTTAAAAAAAAAAAGAAAAAAGAAAAAAGTTGAATAATTTGGGCTCGAATGTAATGGATATCTATATTTTTTGTGCAATTCTTGTTTTACAAAAACTATGCTAAAAAGGTTAGTTGTAGACATTTTATTTAGTCCAAGGCTTAAACCAATTGGGCCCATATCTAATCTAAGCCCAATTGTCCAATTTCTTACATTTTTTTATATTTATCTATCTTATTTATTTATCTTATAGTTTTTTTGTATTTATCTGATTTTAAATTTTTATCATAAATCATGTCAATAAAATATATGGACTAATTTGAGTAATAATTAAGGATAATCTCAGCAATTAAAACTAAAATATGATATCTTCAAATATTAAATGGAGGTTGAAAAGAAATCAAAGTTAGATTTAATTTGGGAAATTTTGAGAGATTTTAAAAATCAAGGAAAATCGAGATAATTTCAAAAATTAATTAAATCAATTTTAAAAAGAATCAAGAAAAAAAAATCAATTCAGAGCATAATCAAATCTGTAATCCTTTTTCATTTAATGCAAATCCATAAAATTTCTAACAAAATGCCCTACATAAAACACAATCAACCGTACACAAAAGAAAAAAAGGGAAACCCACAATGAAATGGATGAGTAGCAATATCTATACTCAAGCTCTTTAGTTAAAATTGGTGGCAGAGCTCTTTAGTTGGAATTGGTGACTATCTGTCACTACAGATCAAAGGATACTTCCACCTAGGCGTGTCTCCATCTATTAAGGTAATTTTCACATTTTGTTTATTTATATATTTATTCATTTATTTCACTTTTTTTTATTTATGTTTAAAATAAAATTTAAAGATTATGAGTTTTAAATTATGAATTTTTATTTCATGGGTTTAAAAAATTTAAACTATGAATTCTACCAAGCTATTGGAGAATTTCATAATATAATTTTTTTTAATAATAATAAAATTTTTAATCCTATCAAACTATTAAAGGATTAAAATCTTGAATTAAGTCTTAACAAAATATTGGAGAACTTAATGAATTTTATGTAAAACATATTAATAAAATTTTTAATTCTATTAAACTATTGGAGGATCAAAATCTTGAATTAAATCTTGCTAAAATATTAGAGGGGTTAATGAATTTTCTTAAAATAAATTTCATACATAATTTTAAAACAAAATTTCATCAAAGTATTGGAAGATCTACATCAAAGTAAATTTTAGTAAACTATTGGAAGATTTTACTAATTATTTCTTTAAATAAAATTTAAATGAATCCGATGACGGAGTTTCTTTAGAGTGAGACACTAGTTTTCATGAATACTCTTAAAGTGAAAAAATTATCTTAAATTATTATCAAACTATTGGAATAATTTTAGGATCAATTTCTTATAATTAAATTATTCAATAATTATAAAAAATATTTTAAGACATGGATAACTTAAAATCAAACTGGTATCATTTGAATGAATGCTGTGAGAATGCTATAATTTTTTTCACATGAAATCATACTTTCAAATAAAAAATTTAATTTTATAAATTAAAATTTATTATTTAAAGATACCTAAATTAAGTTTTAGATTTTTTTTTTAAATAAGTAAGATTCAATTAGGTGATTAAAGTGATGACTCCTAAAATTTATATCTAACTATAGCTCCATGGATTTATATTTTATGAGAATCTATAGCCATCACATGTCTTGAGGTCCCATTAATTTCTCAGCCTATGAAGGTGAACTGATAATATCATGGAATGGTGGAGGAACTTGACAGAAAGAGAGAGAGACTGTACTGAGAGAATTACTGGAAATAGAAACTTTTTGTTTCATGTTGTCTGAATGGAAAAAGAAATAAGCCAAACCACTTGTCTAATTACCCTGGCCATCGGACAGCCATCGTTATGATGGTTTCTAGCCGGACCTAAACTATATTGATTAGAAAGATGAAGAGATAAGCATCATCTCTTTCTCTCTGTCTCTAAAACTGACCCACTGCCTTCAAGAGCCAAAGGGGGAGCAGGAGGCTGTTTGCGGTGTGGGAAATTTGGTACTTTGGTCTTCTCTTTCCTGTTTGCTCTGGTTGTGATTTCGATATTTGATATGTTGGGACTCAACATACGTTCTCAGTGGATTCTTGTGGATTCTTAATATATTAGAAGAAGAAAAAGAAATCTTAATTGTTCCTTGACTGAAAGGTGACTGTTTACAAACAGGAGCAAAGGGATTTTAAAGACTGTCGTTGTCTGATGTGTGGTCAGTTTTTCTCTTTATATGTATGTGCTAGTGTCCACATCCTTGAGGTTGTCGCTGCTTGAGTTTAGATTTAGTTTAATTTTTCTTTGGTATTATCAGAACAAAACCCCATGTAGTTGTATGCTGTTAGTACGCTAAACATATGCTCAACCCAGCTTTTGCATTTTTTTTTTTGTGTTGTGTTATCAATCATTAATCTTTTATTAGATGTTGCTACTCAGCGGCTGGGAAGCACAATGAAGTGTGAACTAGCAATAGGTAGTTTAGTGAGAGCCCTCAGGTCACTACCAGCAAAGCAGTAAACTTCTCCTAAAAGATGGTAGCCTTTGTGTCACTTAAACTAAGATTGGTACCATGCCACTTTTTATTTTCAAAGCGAACTTTCATCTTGTTTGGATGATCCAAAATCATTGTAGTAGTGATTCTATCTTTTGCTGCGGTTGCTAATAGGCCTTGCACAAATTGAAATGCCAAAAATTGTTAGCTTCTTCAAAATCCTTGCTTTGACGCTTGGACAAGTGCAGACCATTGCATACTCAATGGAATACATACTTTGATTTACTATTATATTTCAATTTTACATGTAATTAGAAAGTTTGAGTTTTCTTTTTCCTGTATTTCTTGTAAATATTAGGTGTCCATCACTTGCATGTTATTGCCATATATATATATATATATTACCTTGTTTGGCATGCTTGCTTGTTGCTTTTTAAATTCGTTAGTGTTTGAATGTATTACTACTATGTGCTAAAGTACTGCTCTTGCAATTGGAAAGCGTTTTTCACTCAGCACCAGGATTGACTCTTAGCCAGTGATCTGCCATATAGTTTGCTGAAGTTTCTTGCATCTGTGTGGCATTTATCTTAAAAATTGGATGATACAGGAAGTAAGGGAGGCATTTATCATAGTTACCAGACCTGACGTTGTCATGTAGGAGCAGAGCTCTTTTAAGATCCAGTAGACTAAATGATTTGGTATAACACAGATTAAATTTTATTTATTTATTTATTTTTACTTTCTTGTCTTAATAAAAGATACAGTAGAATAAAGAGGTAATGGCACGAGAAGGCAGGCACTTGAGGCCTATCAAGAAATTATCGACCAAGTGACAACCGGATCCATCCATATCTTTAATTGCTTAGAGTATTTCAAGACACACAGTACCTATAAACAAAAGCGCCTTTTTTTTTTTTATATTAAAAAAGAAAATATGGATTCTCAAAAGTCAAAATACATGACAAATAAATTGAAATCATTAACTATTAATAAAAAATAATTTAAACCCAAGTGAAGTTATCCAATCCAAATATCTATTTTTCCAAGAGTCCACCACATGCCCGTCCTATTCTTGGTGGGCTTAGTCGCATCCATCTCGAGCATTTTATTTTATTAATAAAAAGTAATAATATAGGACATTTTTACTAGCCTAAAGCTTGTAGCTTGATTCGCAGGTTCGCGGCTGCGGCAAAAGGACATTCTCTCGTATGTCTTTCCGGCACGAGCTGCGTTCCCTTTACTAATATTATTAGTTATATTATATTTATTTTGGTTTCAGCAGCTCTCTCTCTTTCTCTCTCTCTCTCTCTCTCTGCCTGTTGCATCGTCTCGTCTCGTCTCGTCTCGTCCTGATCGCACCTGAAAGATCACCATAATGATGCTGCGAATTGCAGTGCGAAATGTACACTTTCCTTTCTCTTTTTTCCATGTAAATAAGTCACTTATATTTTTCCTTTTTATATAATAATAATAATAATTATTATTATTTATAGATTTTGGGACATTCCACGCAAATGATATTCCGAGGTTGCTCCTTTGCCACATATGAGGTGATTTTTTTTTTTTTTTTTTTTTAAGTTTTCCTTCACAACTGAAGCCGAAATCTGTTATCCCCATTACCTGTTTGATTAAATTTCAAAGTAAGTTTACAATGTAATTCATCAATTTTTTTCTTGGTTAGGATTATGGTTTTCCTTTTCTGACACTTTGCTAAGGTTTATAATTTTGATGCTCTTCTTTTTATTCAGATACTCAGCTTCTGAACTTTTCTGCTCTTCCCTCTTCCTCTCCATTCAATTTAGAATTGGTTTCTTTTTTGTCTGCTTTTATGTCTAAAATTTTTGTTTTTGCTTTTTAAACTTTTTTATTATTTGAATGAATCCCATTTCTAAGAAGGATACTATAGACCAACCTATATGCATAAATATATGTATTTGTTTACACATTGTTGTTTCCATATAATTTTAAAATTTCACTTGTCTCTTGGAACCCCTAAAAAGGGGAAAAGAAATAAACCGCAAGGCCATCTGATTTGCTCATCATCTGTTATTCATTCCCTTTGCCTTATATATAGGTCATTTCCAAAGGACAAGGAAGAGAAGCACACCATATTGTGAAGGTCAGTTCTTTTGTTTCTATGTTGTCATTGAGTTAATGTAAAGTTTCACAAAGTTGTAGCATTCATTGTTAGTAAGCTTGTCATATGTCTGTTAGTTGGGACTTGTGGTAGAATCTATCCAAGTTGAGTCACCGGAGTTTACATGCTTGAACTCTACTCAAAACCTTAATTGTGGCTCAAGTTTCATTTAGTGTTATTCTTCAAATTTGATCTTGATTCTAAAAGTAAGTTGAGCTATTCAATTAGCCTTGATTATCATTGTAGATAAAATCAAGGTCGTATACTTGAGAGAGAGAGAGAGAGAGAGAGAGAGAGAGAGAGAGAGATTGTGTAACTTATTGCAAAACTAAAAGCTCAATTACATTCATAAGCCAGTTGAGCCTAGTAAGTACATTGAACTCTGAGTAATTTTTGAGTTGAACCCAAATAATTCATGAGTAGACTTGACTTCCTTACACTCCTAGAAGGATGAGTTTCGATTAGAGGTTCATTCTTTCTTGATCTTCAAGTTCTATAAAAATGACTTTTAGTTAAGTGTTATTCGATAAATTGAAAAAATACAAATATTAAACAATTTATAGAAAACTTAAAGAACAATTGTCCTTATTTCTTTTTATTCTCTCTAGAATGAAGGAGTACATTTAAATAAATAGGAACAGTGAAGTTCCTTATTAGGAAACAACTTGCATGAAACAAAAAACAAAAAATAATAAAAGGAAGGAGAATTATTCTATTCTAAAATAGAAACAAATCCCTAAAAACTTGACAATCGAAATAGTTAACTAAATCAGAAGAATAAATGAGAAATATTCCCAAAATAAATTAGGAAATCATGCTTCACCAATGTAGGAGAATCAGATTTCTACACTCCCTCTCAAGCTAGGTTATGAATGTTAGTCATACTTAGCTTGGATTTCAATCCGTCAAAAATGCTTCTAGGAAGAGTTTTAGTAAGAATATTTGCAATTTGTGAACTTGTAGGTATATAGGCCAGTTCGACCGACCCATTTTTTATCTTTTCCTTTATGAAATGTCGGTCTAGCTCTATGTGCTTGGTCCTATCATGATAAATAGGATTTTTTGTAATATTTATAGTAGCCTTATTATCACAAAACAATGTCAAAGATGTCACAGTCTGAACTTTTAATTCTCCAAGTAACCTCATCAGCCAAATTCCTTCATAAATACCATGGGACATTGCTCTAAACTTAGCCTCAGCACTACTCCTAGCTACAAAAGCTTGCCTTTTACTTCTCCAAGTGACCAAATTGTCCCAAACATAAGTGCAATATCCAGTAGTGGACCTTCTATCTGTTATTGATCCTGCCTAGTCAGCGTCTGTGTACACCTCGACTACCTTATCCATTAAACCTTCACTAGGACTCTTTTTAAGTACTGTAGGATGCAATGAATAGCTTTGAGATACTCTTTGGTTGGATTATTCATGTATCTACTCACCATCCCTACCGCAAACTTGATATCAGGTCATGTGTGGGAGAGGTGAATAAGCTTCCCAACTAGTTTTTGGTATCGCCCTTTGTCCATGAGAGAGCTTCCATTTTTAGTTCCAATTTTATTAGTTGAGTCCATGGGTGTATTGGCAGGTTTGCATCCAATCATGCCTGTTTCTTTGAGTAAATCAAGTACATACTTACGCTGAGACACTAATATTCCATATTTAGAGCAAGCCACTTTTGTCCCAAGGAAATATTTAAGGAACCCCAAGTCCTTTATTTCAAACTCTTCTACAAGGAGTTTCTTCAAATCATCTATTTCTTCCTTATGGTCTTCGGTGATTATGATGTCATCAACATAAACAATAACTCTTTTTCCTACATTAGTGAACTTAACAAAGTATGGTCAGATTGACATTGAAGGAATCCATACCTCTTTATTGCCTTGGTCAACCATTCAAACCAAGCTCAAGGAGTCTATTTAAGTCCATACAAAGATTTTCGAAGTTTGCACATTTTGCCCATGTTGTCTTGCCTTTCAAAACCAGAAGGAATTTCCATGTAGACATCCTCCTCCAAGTCACCTTTTAAGAATGCATTCTTGATGTCAAGTTGGTGGAGAGGCTAATCCAAGTTGGTTGCTAGTGACAATAGAATTCTAATTAAATTGAGTTTGGCTACCAGAGCAAATGTCTCCTCATTATCTATCCCATAGGATTGAGTGAACCCATTTGCAAGAAGTTTAGCTTTGAACTTGTTTATACTTCCTTCTACATTATGCTTTATTGTGAAGATCCATTGAAGAAATGTCAAGAATAAAACTATTTTATTCTTTTATATATATTTTTATATTACAATGCTAGAATTGCATGAAAAGATATAGGCTAAAGACTGAATATTCTCACCCTTAAAACCCAAGATTTTTATGCATTAAAATAGCTAATCAAAGGAGTAATTTACTCTCTACACATAATAAGAAAATATCTAATGGATTTAGTATAATTACCCAAATCACTCGTTATTCTAAAAATAAGAGACTTAACTAAAATAGACAAAGTCAACTAATCAAGTAATAATGAAGATTAGATTTTCACACTTCCCCTCAAGCTGGGTGGTAGATGTCAATCATGTCTAGCTTGGACTTCAGATTCTCGAAATTGTTATGAGAGAGAGCCTTAGTGAGTATGTCTATAGTTTGGAGGCATGTGGAAGTATAAACTAATCTAACAATTCTTTCCTCTTATCTTTTTTTTGATGAAGTGACGATTACTCTCCACATGTTTTGTCTTATCATGATGAACAAGATTTTTTGCTATGCTTATGATAGCTTTTTTGTCATAGAATATCTTCATGGATTCTTTTACAAAGACCTTTAACTCCCCTAGCAATCTTTTTAGCCAAATTCCCTCACATATACCATGAGACATAGCTCTAAACTCAGCTTCCGTGCTACATTTAGCCACCATAGATTGCATCTTGCTTCGCCAAATAACTAAATTTCCCCACACATAGGTACAATAACCAATAGTTGATTTTCGGTCAATAATGGATCCAGCCCAATCAACATCATTGTAAATTTCAACATTTTGGCATGATGTCTTCTTAAAAAACAACCTTTTTTCCAGGACTCTTCTTTAGGTACTGTAAGATTTGATACACAGCCCTCAAGTGTTCCTCGTTTGGATCGTTCATGAATCTGCTTACCATGCTAACTAAAAAACCAATATCTGGTCTTGTATGAGAAAGGTAGATGAGTTTCCCAATGAGTCTTTGATATTTGCCCTTATCTATTGGACTTCCTTCTTCCATTCGTACGTTATTCATTGTATCTATAGGGGTGTCAAGAGGTTTGCATCCAAGTATTTCGGTTTCTTTTAGTAAGTCTAGGACATACTTACACTGTGAAACAGAGATGCCATTCCTTGAGCAAGCTACCTCCATGCCAAGAGGTAGTCTGGCATTGTGAAAAAGCATACTTCTTTACCACTTTTGTTAGTCTATCAAATCATGCACGTGGGGATTGTTTGAGACCATGAAAAGACTTTTGAAGCTTGCATACTTTGCCAGAATTGCCCTAATTTTTGAATCCTGGAGGGATTTCCATGTAAACTTCTTCTAGGTCACCATTAAGAAATGCAGTTTTGATATCTAGTTGGTGGAGTGGCCAATTTAGATTTAACACTCGGATTGAACAAAGTTTAGCAACTGGAGAAAATGGTCCTCATAGTCAACACCATAAGATTGAGTAAATCCTTTTGCAACAAGGCGAGCTTTGAATCTGTTAATACTTTCATCTGCATTGTGCTTGACAGTAAAAATCCATTTGCACCCAACAGGAATTTTCCCTTTGGGTAGTTCTAAAATCTCCCATGTTTTGTTTTTTTCTAGGGCCTTGATTTCTTCCAAAATAGCCATCTTTCATTTTGCTTGCATGAGTGCTTCATGAATATTATTGGGAATCTGCATATTATTTAGTGTAGTAACAAAAGTCCGATAACTGGATGATAAACCTTCTTAAGAAACCACATTACAGATTGGGTGTTGAGTACATGATCTCACACCTTCTCTTAGAGCAATCGATTGATCAAGATCATCAAAAGATTCAATTGAATTAGATTCAGTAAGAGTTTTACCTGTGTTGGATTCAAATATCTTTGGAATCAATTCAGATTCTTGGTTTTGCTTTGAAGGAGTACATTCTAATAGATCCTTTTGAGTTTTATGTCTTCTTGAATAGATAATCAACTCTTTGTTTGTTTTCCCTTACGTGGACTTTGGGCTTGGAGGATCCAGTTGTATGTTTTGGACTTGAAAGGGAGGATCTAGTTGGATGTTTTGGACGTGAAAGGGAGTTTGAGAAGTGGTTGGTGGTTCGATAATAGGATCTTCCCAAAGCTGATATTCCCATGTGATTGGATTCTCCCCTTGAATGGCAATTTTGGTAAAGTAAGGTTGATTTTCAAAAAAGGTAATATTCATGGAATGGTAAAATTTCTTTGTTATTGGTGAGTAGCACTTTTATCCTTTTTGATTCAGGGAGTATCCAAGAAATATGCATTTGATGGATTTGGGATCTAATTTGCTTTGGTTTTGTTGGCTGGTAAGAACAAATGCAGTGCATCCAAACACTTTAATGGAAATAGATAAGATGATTTGAAGGTGAAGATAGGAACTAAGAAAGGATTGGTAAGGGCTTTGAAATTTAAAGACTCGAGAAGACATTCTATTTATAAGATATGTAGCAGTAAGAAGAACCTCACCCCAAAAATGCTTAGGTACATGGGCAGCCATCATGAGGGATCTTGCAACTTCCAACAAATGTCGATTCTTTCTTTCAACAATACCATTCTACTGAGGAGTGTTGACACATGAGCTTTGATGAATTATACCATGCTTAATTAGATATGATCCAAGAATTGAATTGTAGTATTCTCTCCCATTGTTGGTTCTCAACACTTGGATTTTGGTTTTGAATTGAGTTTGGATCATATTGTTGAAGTTTTGGAATAGCTGGCCCACTTCTGATTTTTCCTTCATAAGGAATACCCAAGTAACCTTGGTGTGATCATCAGTAAATGTAACAAAGCATCAAGAGCCAGTAACGTTATTTACTTTGGAGGGACCCCAAATGTTATTATGTATCATTGAAAAAGGATGGGATGATTTGTAAGGCTAATTAGGATATGTGGTATGAGTATGTTTGGATAGTTGGCAAACTTCACACTGAAATTTGTTAGGATTTTGATTGAATAATGAGGGAAACAACCTTTTGAGGTAGAAAAAATTTGGATGGTCTAATCGATAGTGCCACAACATTATAGTACTATCTTTGTTATTACTGGAAGATAAAGCCTCACAAAAGGTCTTTTGATATTGTCTTTTAGAATCACTAGCTCTTAGGATATAGAGTCGTACACACATCCTAGCATTGCCAATCATCTTCCCTGAGTTCAAATCTTGAAATTCACACATATTTGGAAGAAATTTATTAGCACACTTAAGGTCTCTTGTAAGTTTGTTTATAGACAATAGATTACAACTTAGATTTGGGACAAACAAAACAGAATCAAGTGTTATCTTTTTGGAAATAATAACAAAACCTGTACTGGTTACTTTTGATAAGCAATTTGAACTGTGATGTTTCCATGACATAGGTTGTATTTACTAAATAAAGATGCATCCCCAATCATATGGTTTAAAGCTCCTGAATCCACAATCTATGAATTTGATTTCTCTATTTTTACACTTAAGGCACTTAGAAAATTACCTTTTTGGGCTAAAGAACTTGTTCGAATAGGAGTGATAATGTTCTACAGTGATTGGGAAACGCTAGCTCCAAAGTTAGAGGTAACCTCCGAGTCCAGGCTCTCTTTTCGGTTGCTCATGTTGGAGTTTGAGTGAAAATTTTCAAAGGTTCATATTGTGCTCTAATACCATTAAGAAATCTCTTGAATAAAACTATTTTATTCTTATATATATATATATATTTTATTACAATGCTAGACTTGCATGAAAATATGTAAGCTAAAGATTGAATATTCTCAGCCTTAAAATGAAAGATTTTCATGCATTAAAACAATTAATCAAAGGAGTAATTTATTCTCTACACATAATAGTAAAATATCTAATGGATTTGGTGTAATTACTCAAATCACTCCTTATTCTATAAATAAGAGATTTAACTAAAATAGACAAAGTCAACTAATCAAGAATAATGAAGATTAGATTTTGACATCGACTTACATCCAACTGGGTTCTTTCCTTTGGACAAATCTGAAATTTCCAATGTCCAATTCTTCTCTAGTGCCTTTATTTCTTCATGAACCACTACCTTCCAATCTGGTTCATTGAGGGCTTCTTGAAAATTTTTTGAAATTTGCACATTGTCAAGGTTAGTAGTAAAGACTCAAAAGTTTGGATTTAACCTGTCATATGAGATGTACTTACAAATAGGGTACCGGGTGCATGATCTGACGCCTTTTCTTAATGCAATAAGCATGTCAAGGTCACCAGCTAGCTCACAAGTTTTAGTTTTAGATTTAATAGGGACATTACTAGTGTTAGTTTCAGGTTCTTGGAGACTCAGATCAGGTTGATTTTTAGTGCTGGGCTGTGTATAGTTGTCCACATCTTCCTATGGTTTTTGCTTCCTTTAGTAGACTATTAGTTTTTTTTTTTGTTTTTTCTTGCATAACCTTAGGGTTTGAAAAGTCAAAGAGTTGTTTGAACAGATTGGGTTTCGGAATTTGCATGGCTAATAGGTTGGGTAGGTTGAGAATTTGGTTGGGAATCTGGTTTTGAAGGGGCTGCTTGAGAAATTGACAAGTCAACAGCTAAGAATTGATATTCATGAGTAGTATTATCCCCTTGAATATCATTCTCGCTGTAGTATGGAAGATTTTCAAAGAAGGTGACATCCATAGAACTATAGAATTTTTTTTATAATGGGTGAGTAACACCTATAGACCTTTTGGTTTGGGGAACAACCAAAGAAGATTCATTTTAAGGCTTTGGGATCAAGCTTGCAGCGGTTTGTTGGCTAATATGAACAAAGGCAATGCAGTCAAAGAGTTTGATGGGAATGGAAGAGATCAATCGAGTTTGCGGGTAGGAAGCAAGGAGAGTTTGACACGGTATTTGAAAGCCAAGAACTCGAGAAGGCATTCAGTTAACCAAATAAGTTGTAGTGAGGACAGCTTTTTCCCAAAAATATTTAGGCACATTGGAAGTCAACAAGAGGGATCTGGTCACTTTTATCAAATTTTTTGGTTTTGCGTTTGGCAACCCCATTTTGCTATTGAGTGTCAACGCAAGAGCTTTTATGGATAATGCTATGATTTGTGAGGTAAGAGCCGAGAATAGAGTTCAAGTATTCCCTTCCATTGTCTGTTTTCAGGACTTGGATTTTGGCTTGGAATTGGGTTTGTACCATGCTGATGAAGTTTTGAAAGATTTGGCTAACCTTGAATTTTTCTTTCATAACGAATACCCAAGTGAGTCGAGTATGATCATCGATGAATGTAACAAACCACCTAGAACTTGTGATAGTCTTAAATCTTGACGGTCCCCAAATGTCATTGTGAATATTGAGAAAGGTTGGGATGATTTATAGGAAAGGCGAGGATAGGCATTTCGAGTGTGCTTAGAAAGTTGACAAGTTTCACACTGAAAATCTTTAGAGATGTTATTGAATAATGAGGGACATAGCCATTTTAGGTATGAAATATTTGGATGTCCTAATCTATAATGTCATAACGTGATAAAGTCATCCTTATTGGTACTAGAGGCTAAGACTGTACAAGAGTTTTGTGGTTTCTCAAGTGCATCATCTTGAAGAAGGTTGAGCTCTGTACACATCCTAGCACTGCCAATAATCCTCCCTGAGCCCAATTCCTAAAATTCACACAAGTTGAGAAAAAAATTTACTGACACAACATCTATCTTTCATAAGCTTACTGATGGAAAGTAGGTTACAATCTAAATTAGGGACATGGAGGATAGAGTCAAGTATTATGTATTTCGAAACTACAATAGAACCTGTTCTTGCCACATTTGAGAGAGAGCCATCAGCAATTTTTATAGCAGAACTATCATTGCAAGGTCTATATGTGTTGAATAAGGATGCATCTCCAATCATGTGATCCGATGCTTCTGAATCAACAATCCAAGATTGTATATTTCCCCAATTGAACACTTAAGGCGTTTAGGAAATTACCTTTTTGTGTTAGTAAACTAGTTCCAAAGGTTGCAGACTTGTTTTGAAGGGTTTGTTAGAGCATCACTTCTTTGTGACTTTCCTTATGCCATACCTCTGTAGAAGAAGAGTTCTCTCTCTTGCTAGCCATAACAAAAACTCATGTGGCTACAGTTTAATGGTTCTTGTTGACTTACTCTGATACTATGTAGAAAACTTAAAGAACAATTGTCCTTATTTCTTCTTATTCTCTCTAGAATGAAGGAGTACATCTAAATAAATAGGAACAGTAAAGTTTCTTATTAGAAAACAACTTACATGAAACAGAAAACAAAAAATAATAAAAGAAGGAGAATTATTCTATTCCAAAATAAAAACAAATCCCTAAAAGCTTGACAATCAGAATAGTTGACTAAATTAGAAGAATAAATGAGAAATATTCCCAAAATAAATTAAAAAATCAAGTTGCACTAATGTAGGAGAATCAAATTTCTACACAATTAAGTCTTAAATTTGTAATGTGAAAATGTGTTATGGAAAATTATGTCTTGAATCACTCTTAGGTTTTTTGCAATTGTAATACATGATTGTTTAGTGATTTTACAATTAATGAGATTTACGAAATAGAAGATGGCATAGAAGATCCTTTAATAACACACTGGGATAATGTAGTGTAATAGTAAACTAATATTGACTGAATGAAATAAGTTGGATTAAACTACTAAATATTTCTGCAGTTTAATTGAAAGTATTATATTAAGTGGTCCTTAAAATGAGTAACTAGCAAATTGAAAAAAAATTAAATCATTTAAAATATAATTTTCAAATAATTGGAATTTTTAATTTTCAATTTGTCATCAAATATCACCTTACAGTAATTTCCATTTAATCTTTCAGATCATCTTCTTATTTCTATTCATTTTCCTTCTTTTCTTCTGAATGTCAGTTTTTATAGGAACGAAATAGAGTACGAGAAACTTTTTCTGACTTACTGAAAATAGAATGAAGGGAAAAATGGCAAAATAATCCTTCAAGTTGAAACATGTTTGATTAAGGTGTTCTATGATTGGAAGAAGGATCAAACAATTATTTCTGAAGTTCCTTTTTGTGCTTACTTCTTGTACAAAATGGGTTTCTTTATTTTTTGAAAAGCATGATTTCACAAATATAATAGATGTTTACAGAGATACCTCATCTTATTAATTTGTTAATCATTTTCCATCTGTTTTTTAAATGCTCTTAATTTCAGATGAGTTTTTTCAACTTTTTGTGTTGTTGAGTTCATTTTTTTTATTGTCTTAATTGATATGGGAATCATTTAAGGATCGATGTAATAACCAAGCTGAGAATCTCTATCCCAAACCAAATGTTGGAGGCATACTGAAGCACCAAATTGGGCAGAATGTTTCAAGAAAGGATAAAATTAAATTTCTTGTAACTACAGTAAGTACAAAAGCTTATCATCTTTTTTATTTTCCTTTGTGGCTTTAATTTTGCATGCTAAAATCAGTTGTTAACTTGGTAATGTAACTTTATCTATGCAGCTTCTTGATATTAAAGACAGCAAAGAAGCTGTATATGGTGCTCTTGATGCGTGGGTTGCTTGGGAGCAGAATTTTCCTATTGGACCTCTTAAAAATGTAATCCTTGCTCTTGAGAAGGAGCATCAGTGGCATAGAGTTGTTCAGGTATCAGCAGTTAGTCTCACTCCACTTATATTTTTGCATTTTAATGAGCTTTCCCCTTTCTCTCTCTGTGTCTGAATGATATATGTTCTCTTTGCATCACACGTTATTACATAGTCACTTGAAATGTTTAGTTAGTTTACTTGTGATTTTTTTTTTTTTTTTATATCACAAGTTAAGAAAGAAGATACCATCCAGGGTACTTGGGGTTCTTGGTAATAAGTGAACTAATCTTTGTAGTAGTAAGAAAAGTACATTTTCTTGGCTGTTGGCTTCTTATGTTTCTTGGTGTAGGTTAGGGCAAGTCTTGCACACATTGGAAACAACCACTTGCAAGAAGAATAATATCCAAAAATAATCAAGAGAGAAGGTTGATTGTTTGCTTATTATTTAGACTTGATTTTCATTTTGACAGGAACAGATGGCTCTACTTACTATAACATGTTCAATTTTATGGTCTCACTTTTATCAGAATAGTTTTGGTGAGGGCACTTCAATCAGTATTAGCCTTCCCCACTTTTTATTTTTTGGGGTACATATGGGAGATACAAGGGGGAGGGGAGGATTCTAACTTTGGGCCTAAATCCTCTTAAAGAGGGTAACAACTGCTATGCTAAGCATGAGTTGTTGCCTTCCCCATATTACAAAGTACTTTTTTTTTCAGTTTGTTGCTGTTTTAATTAATACTTTTACTTGTAAGAGGAAAGGTAAAAGTAAAATCTTCAAATTGTATACTTAAGTACCTCCTGCTTCAAATTTCACGAATCATGTCAAGTCTCTGGATGTGAATTCAACAACTGTTCTTCCCTCTTAGGTTATTAAATGGATGCTAAGCAAGGGGCAGGGAAACACAATGGGAACATATGTACAGTTACTACGAGCTTTGGATATGGATAATAGAGCAGAGGAAGCACATCAGTTTTGGGTGAAGAAAGTCAGTGCAGATCTACATTCAGTGCCTTGGCAGTTATGCAGACTCATGATATCTGTATACTATCGAAACAACATGCTGGAGAATCTTGTAAAGGTATGTTTTTGTTTCGCTAACTGTCAATTATATGCATTTTGAACTGTAGGTACATGTTATAAATGATTGGTCTAATCTTATTCGTTAGTTAATCATCTATTACACATGCATTTCATATTCCTGATCTTTGGTAATTATGTCTTCCTTTATTTATATTACAAGTTTTAGTATAATTTGTGTCATCAGTTGGAAAAAGCTGAAAATATCTAGTTTATTTTGTAGGAGCTTTCAGAGTATCTTTATTCTTTTACTTGCAGTAGTTGAACAAAAATCAAACTAAACTGAAAAAAATCTTTAAAACAAAATAAATACCTGCTGAAAGGGTAGTGGGGTAGTAAAATTGTAACACTTCTCTATAGGTACGAGCATACAAGCCTCTACTCATTTGGGAACCAATAGCAGGAAAGGCCTAAATGGTAAGGGCCTGTGCAAGCAGCTGTTATGCTTCCTTAGGGGGAGCTATGCCTTGAAACAAGCCACACAATGGGTCCAGTGATGTCAATGCATATCTAAAGCCATTTTGAGCAAATTGTATGTAAAGTCATTGCCACCATAAACTTGAGGTCATGATGCTTGGCCAACCATGTATAACTACTAGGATCACCAGTTACCACCATTATCATTTGCAATCAGTGCATAATTAGCTAAAGAAGTATTTCAACTCGTGAAAAATTTAGGAAAAGACTGTTGAATTAGTTTCTTACAGATGTGGACATGCTGGATGTTTCCTAAGACTGAGGACAGCCCTACCGGGTATATAAAAAGGTTCCAACTGAGCTGGCTTTGCGTGTTTAACATCAATCCTTTTTTCTTTCTACTGCTAATTTGAGCATTTCTTGTGCCAGTATTGTTCCCTTAACGTTTCTAATTGCTAAGGGTGAGACGTGTCTAGTTCCCTGGTCTTAGAGGAAAGTTTTTTCAATACTGAGCTCATGTTCTGGGTTGTGTTGCAAGCAAGTAACAAGGAAGAGGTGAAGAGGCAAGAGAGGAGGCAAGCGGAATCCGTAGAAATTTCAGGTAACGATGACAGATGAGAGAAAGTGGGATGATATGGGATTATCTAAGAATTAATTGACCACATTAATGTCATGATGATAAGATTTCAGGGAGAAAAAGTGATTTTATGGAGATAGTGTGGTGAGATACAAGGGAGTAAAAAATCCAAATCCTCAATAAAATTGACAGAGAGACATCATGTCACAAAGTCTGATTGGAGAGACATCATGTCAAAATTAGCCAACTGGAAAATGCACATAAATAGCAAATTAATTTGGTGGTGAGTGGAAAGTTTGATTGAACAAGGCTAACCCTATGGCAGCAGCCCGATGTGAACCATCTCTAGCTCAGTCATATCACTGAACTGCAACCCATGCTTGCCCATTTTAGGACGTGGGGAACAAGCACAACACAAAGGAATTCCTGCTTGTCACTTGTCACGTCTCCATCACACTTGGGCTATCTGCTCAATCTCTTGCTGGCTGCCAGGATCTTCACCTGTTGCCTTGCTCCCTGCCTCCCCCTTCCCACCACTGGAACCAGTAACACTGTTTGTTGCCCCAATAACTTCACATTTCCTGGCATGCCCAAATGCCACCAAGAAATAAAATCCTGGATGAAAGATGGTGCAAGGTGCCTCACCATGATGCCACTTGGTCTGAGCGACCGAGGCAGCTATTTAAATGATTGTGCTAAATGGTTAATTGTTGGGTCTCAAAGAACTTCTGTACATAATCATAGTTATAGTGGTGATAATCACCATCTAGATTATGCATCTTCATATTGCATATTTCTGAATTTGACATTTTTAGTCTATCCTTTAAAGTTTATTTCCCATATCTGACCAAGCTTCAAACACCGTAGACAATTTGTTTGAGTTTATATTCCAAACAGGTGTAAGTTTGTTGAAAAGATACCTTGGCAGAAGTAATATTTTATGTTGTAGAGGCAGTTTCCTGATCTTTGACAGGCCTTACTCTTAAGAGGCAATTGTCCAAGTTCTTATGATAGTTGTTATGGTCTTTTTTTTTTTTTTCCTTGAGTCTTCCTTAATTAAAAGTTTAGCTTGTTCTTATTTTCTCGTAACTAACTACTTTATCCAATATTTTGTATTGACCTATTCTTTATTGTTATCATAAAGCTTTTCAAGGACTTGGAAGCTTTTGATCGCAAACCTCCTGAGAGATCAATAGTTCAAAGAGTGGCAGATGCATATGAGGTGTTGGGCTTACCTGAAGAGAAAGAAAGAGTACTTGAAAGATACAAAGATATTTCTACCAAGACGGAGAAAGGTCCTAAGCAGGCTTCATTGAAGAAAAAGAAGAATTCTGGTTAGACACACTCTCTCTCTCTCTCTCTCTTCCCACTCCCTTAACCACTTCCAGAGTAGAATTTTCTATTTTAGGAGAAAGTAAGGTGAGTCTTCTTGTGCACCTGGAACTTGCCCTGGTACATTGTAACAAAGAGTCTTACTGTTGAATACGAGAAATTATTGTTTCATTCTCAAGCTTAATATTCTACTCTTTGGATTTGATGGGAGACTATTGCATGTATGCATTGTAAGATAGAAATTCATTTCCTTGACCCTGCTGGTTTTGGTTGTTTTCAGTGCGGAGGAGACAGACACAACTTCAGAGGACCTAGTGGGCACAATGGATGGCACAGATTTAGTGAGATGAAGATGAGAAAAATGGCAGTTTTCATTCCCATTTTTTGAACTGGGAAATTTATTTTCTTGGTCCCCCTGGTTGCAAAATCACTGTTTTCATCATGCTTGGAGGAGCAAGGATCCAAAGGTCAACAGGGAATTGGCAGCTACTCTACAGTCAAAGTCATTTATGCTTCTAAACTGCTTTCATATCCAGTGATTGTCAAACATTGTAAATTATGTAGTACTTGGATAGAGTTGAAAGAATAGATTAAAATTTGTATCAATACCCGCATCTTTGGACTTGAAGGCTTACAGCGGAAACACTAGTACATGAACAAGAGTTTGAAGGTTGATTTCCCTCTATTGCATGTCTATGCTATACATGGGCAATGTTTAGTTGGAGTTTCTTCTCGTGTGCCACTCGTAAATTTCCCCATAAAATCATCAAATATTTGACTAATCAACTTGCAATAATTCGCTAGTGATTAATAGCTAGTATTAGAAAACACGATGTCGTCTTGATGTGAACTCTAAGAAGGAAAAAGATGGATAAATGCATATCGACTTGATGAAAAAAAACAAAATGTAGAATTGCCACGGCCTGATTAGAATTGCTTTGCTTCTCTAGCTAGCTTTATAAAAGCAGAAAAGATATTTCCATTACTTAAAAAATAATAAACATTTCTATTATTTTATCAAAGATGAATAATGCACTTTTAATTAAATTTGTAATTAAAGTTAAATGATTTTTAATTAAATATTAAAATCAATGAAAATTAATTAAAAATAAAAATGATTAACAAAATATTAATTTTAATTTTAATTAAAAGTAATTAATTGTCTTTAGGTAAGGTAATGAAAATTTTTATTTTTTTTATTAAGTAGCGGAATCAGTCCTCCAATATATTCATCAATTATGAAATCAGTAGTGTTAGGACATAAAAACTTTAATCAACATAATAAAATATTGTTTTCTATATTATTATTTTTAAAATTCTTAATCTATCATTGAATCCATTATTATTATATTTACTTGATTGAAAAAGAATATATAAACTTGTAACCTACAAACATTATCTCCAATGACAAACCAAATTTAATGGTCAATCGGATTTTACTATTTTTTTTATTTAAAAGCAAATTATCAAGTGTTCACCAATTATCGGTAGTATATGTTAGTACATAAAACTTTAATTAATATAGTAATTGTTGCTTTTTATTTTTTGTTTTTATAATTTTTAATCTATTATGGAACCCGTTACTTTCATATTTATCTATTTAAAAAAAATATTATTCATATAAATTTGTTTAAACTTATAACTTTTAAACACCAACTCCAACCACAAATCAAATTTAAAAATCAATTGGCTTCTATTATTATTTATTAAAAAGTAATTCTTTTTAATAAAAACTACGCGACAGTTATGATGTTCTTTTTATTAAAATATAATAATTGAATAAGGACTCAAATTTTATTAAAGAATAAAAATAAAAATTTTATTGTTAAATTAAGATTAATAAATTTTTATTTCATTGTAATTAGAACTATGACGTTATAAATTATTTTATATTTCATAATTAAAATCTTTTTGATTGGTCAATTTAATTTATAAAAAAATATTTACTTAAATTTATTTGGATGAATTAGATTAGAAATACTCGAAAAAAATGCTGCTTTAGTAATTCTTACAATTCGACTTTATTCACCAATTTCTCATATTTAATGGGTATAATTACAGCCGTAACTCCCATTTGTATGATAGGGTGGGTGTCACGGTCCGTGCATTCCTCCTTCTCAAATCACGCGTCCATGCGACATCAAGACTAATCTTAGTGAATGTCAGCCTTTTATCGTGTTCATTTTTTTTCGCGAACAGACCAATTTCGATCTTTCAAGCCATATGCCTACGAGCTTTTTTTTGGCTTTAACCTCGTAAGATCGCTCATTCCGAACTCTACAGAGAGGAACCCAACTCTCATCGCGCATCAACCCGCGATCCTTCTGGTCGCAGGGCTTAAGGCCTCGAGCACTGACCCTCAAATCTCCATCGGGACACACAACCCTCGATTCTTAACGTAACCCCGAGCACCCATCTCTGCCTGTAGGGCTTTGAATCTTGAGCCCCGATCCTCGATTGCCCGTAGGGACACCCAATCCCGATTTTCATGATATTATCACTTCTTGACATGGTGAGAACCCAACACCATGCCCACCCGTATTATACGCAAACTTCCGTATCAAGTTTACGCAAGCACCACAACTAAGCTGATCGACCGTCAGCTCGGAGCCTCTAGGCTAGTCTCATCCATGGGACTCGGTTCTTAGGGCTTAGGCCCTCAGCATTAGTATCGGCCGCCCACACGCATGATTGACACCCAACATCATACTAGTCCTGCAAGGGGACTTGGGTGGACTACCTCAGCTGCAGCACACCAGTCGCCTGCACGCATGGTTGACACCAACCATCATGCTAATCTCGTAAGAGGGCTTGGGTGGACTGCTCCAGCTGTAGCACACCTCTCCTGATTGGTCACAGGGGTCTAGCAGCGTGTCTGCCTGCTAGCCTGCACATCATTTTGGCTCGATGGCATCCCTCCTACGTAAACGCCATCTCGTGATCCTTCCGACTCGAGGAGGGGAAATCGAGGTGCCTAACGATCTCTATCGTCTAACCTCATGGTTCAACACAAAGGCGCGATACGAGACCCGCTGGCCCCAACTGCCCCCGGGTTTATCGTGACCCGAGGAAACATCGTGTCACGCTTGTGACCTTACGATGCCCGCCCACCTATCCACCACTAGTGACTAGGAATAGCTTACTTCAGACTAGTCAGGCCCTCGCCTGCCCGCTAGCCAAGGGGGTGGTGGAGAGCTGACACCAGATGTCCCCCTATAAAGAGCGTAAGAGATGTTCTCAGTCTCCTACTAGTGACCGTAAGATTGTCTGAAATGGGGACACTTTGCTCTCCATCCATCTCAAGGCCTTTCTCCGGCTAACTCAGGGCCCCATGACCTTTCTCTTGGTCACCACTACTCCTTGATTCTGCTCGTTGCTCCACCAACCCACTCGAAGGTGCCTGCACATGGCTTCGACTGACAGCACCTGACTGGCTAGCTGGTCCCAAGGCATCGACGTACTGCCTTATACTTACCTGCGTATCTCAGGGTTTAGGACATGGATCGTTCACACACAATATCCCTAAGATATTCACATGCTCGGAACGCCCGCACACTGCTTCTACTCGTGGCACCCGTCAGGCTACTTGGCTTGAGGGTGCTTGACCACCGTCCCGAACTTCCTTGCATATCTTACGTTCCAGGGCTCCAACTGCCCGCACAACATGGTAGTAACATGTTCCAAGGCTCCAAATGCACGCCCGTAGCTCTTAAAGCCACTTTCTTGCAAGCTTGATCTTGATCGCTGCTCGGTTCAAGGTCAGTCATGGCAGGACCAAGGCCTGGCCATTACACTCTCCCCCACTTACTATGTCGATGCCCTTATCGACGCCAAGACCACATCCCAACTATCTTGTTGCACACAGCTGACATTTACTCATATGTCTTTCACTTGTGCCCTCAAGAATTGGGTCGAGGTCCAGTCACATAAAGCATTGCCCACAGTACTCGTCCATTGTTGATGTAGATGGATCACGTTGTCACTCAGCTCTATTCTAGCTCGAACCGCCTAACCTATCTTGGTTGTTCTCATATGGGCCATACCATTGCTTCATCCCTTGATCATGTCGTGTTGCGACCTCGAAGCACCCTCATTGATCAATGACCCTCAGTAGAATGAATGACCACCCGCTTTGCCACACATTGGTACGTCCCACTGGACGTGACCCCTCATACCAACTGCGCGTTTGCAACATCAACCCTCTGATGCGCCCCTCTGGATATGGTGCTTAGGTCAATCGTACTCATACGGCACCCTACATGATAGACCCTAGCACAGTGGCATTTAGGCACTTTGGCCATATCTTAACTTGGGTCCTCTCGGCCCCTCAAAGGTCACCCCTCTAGGTGTGGCCCTCTGGCCAACTGCCCTCAAGATGGCACCTTAACGCACGCTAACTCGGTCTCTATTCCCGGCTTGAACATTGTGCTCCATTGCTCAAGCTCCTCAGTCTCGGCTCAGTCTCATGGGGAATTGACAGGTCTCCCTCACTTTTACTCGAAACTCGATGCAGCATTATGCGCAACCATGTCTTCTTTATGGATCTACTACTTGTCTGCCTTGAATCTAGCATGGCTCTTATGACATCTCAAAATCCGCACATACTCGAAGATCCACTGATCCGACAAAATGCCTAGTCCACTGATTTGCTCGACTCAAGGATTTACCCGCTCACTCCTTAAGGTCCACTGACCTACACTTCTGAGGCCTTGTCAACTGGCCATTTTCCTTTGCTTGTTTCACCAGATTACACCTTGTCGTGTCCCACTGACC